ATCATTTAAGTTAATTTTTTTTCCTCATTAATGTACACACAGCACCCCATATTGACAGAAAAACGCAATATAACAAAGAGTGAAAAATTTAAGGGGATCTGAATACTTTTCGTACCCACTGTACTTCAAATGAACAAAATTAACTTCAAGCATTTAAAACAAATGACAGTCTGCTTCAACAACTGAACAGTTCACTTTTAGCATGTGTTTAAATAAACAAATGATATATATATATATATATATATATATATATATATATATATAATAGTGCACTTCTACAAGTAAACTAAGCGTAATAAGTAAATAAATAAATAAATAAAAATAAATGCATGTGTATTTCTACACAAACAAAAAACTAAACAAATAAGTGAACGAATTAACGAACAAATGAACGAACGAACGGATGCTAGTGATCTAAATAAAATACTAGTGTTTTTTTGAAAAGAGAACTAAAGTACCTTAGAATATGCTTTTAATACATAAATGCTAGTGTACTTATAATGTTGATAAATAAATAAATAAATATTGCACATCTACAAGTAAACAAAATTGCTTTATATAAATAACTTTAAGGCTGTGCTTGAAATAAATAAATAGTGGACTTCTATAATTGAACACAATTTTAATTTGCCAAACAAATGAAGTACAAATCAACAACAAAAAAAAAAAAAATATATATATATATTGTTATTAAAAAGTGCATGATTTTAATAAATAAATGAGACCTATGAGACAAAAAGCTGATTCTTACATGAATCATACATATCTGCTGTATAAACTTTGTTCAAGCGCCAGCAAAACAGTGTAAAGAAATACTCTTTGTCAGAAGCAGTCAATCAGCAGAAGTTAAAAGCAGCTTGTAAGTGTATTTATTTATTGTCTCAGTGTTTAGCGCAGGCACATAAGTATCGCTTCTGAATCATTCTCTTTCCTACTACTTGTTCTCTCTCCACTCTCTGAGGCAGAAGTCTCTAAACTCATCCTTTCCAATCATCCTACTACTTGTCCGCTTGATCCTATTCCATCTCATCTCCTTCAAGCCATTTCTCCTGCAGTTGTATCTGCACTCACTCACATCGTTAACACATCCCTTCACACTGGTGTTTTTCCCTCAATATTTAAACAGGCTCGTATAACCCGACTTCTTAAGAAACCCACTCTTAACCCAACTCTTTTAGAGAACTACAGACTGGTTTCTCTTCTACCTTTCATTGCAAAAACACTTGAACGAGTTGTGTTCAACCAAGTCTCAGCCTTTCTCACACAGAACAACCTCCAGGACAGCAACCAGTCTGGCTTCAGAAGTGGACATTAGACCGAGACTGCCTTGCTTTCAGATGTTGAAGCCCTAAGACTGGCAAGAGCGGCTTCCAAATCGTCTATACTTATTTTGCTGGATCTGTCTGCTGCTTTTGATATGGTGAACCACCAGATTCTCCTGTCAACCCTATTGGAAAATGGCATCTCAGGAACCGCACGCCAGTGGTTTGAGTCTTACCTCTCAGATAGGTCCTTCAAGGTATCTTGGAGAGGTGAGGTGTCCAAGTCGCAACATCTAGATGCTGGGGTGCCTCAGGGCTCAGTACTTAGACCACTTCTTTTCTCTGTCTACGTGGCATCACTAGGTTCTGTCATTCAGACAGGCTTTTCATATCACTGCTATGCTGATGACACTCAACTCTACCTCTCATTCCATCCTGATGATCCGACAATAGCTGCTCACATCTCAGCATGTCTAACAGACATTTCTTGTTGGATGACAGACCATCACCTTCAACTCAACCTGGCTAAGACAGAACTGCTTGTGGTTTCAACAAACCCATCACTTTATCAACATTTCCAATTAGGCTCATCAACCATAACTCCTTCAAAAACAGCTAGAAACCTTGGAGTTGTGATTGATGAACCACCACTGCCTCTGCACCCATTTATCTAAATTCATTACTTCAGAGTTATGTGCCTTCTAGAAGCTTGCGTTCTGCAAGTGAACGGCGTATTATTGTGCCATCTCAAAGAGGCACAAAATCACTTTCACTGACTTTTGCATTAACTGTTCCCTCCTGGTGGAATGACATGCCCAAATCAATCTGAGCAGCTTAACCATCTTCAAGAAACTACTAAAGACACATCTGTTCCACCTTTATTTGACCCTCTAACTCTAACACTTTCTATTCTATTTTAATTCTACTTTATCTATATTTATCTTCTTTTTTTATTTTGTATTTATTTATTTTTAATTTAAAAAACAACACAAAAACAAACAAACACTAGCTTTCTATTTTTTCTATTCTATCTACTTGTTTTTCTTTGTGTATGTGCGTCTTAGTTTTGACTGCTTTTACTGTCCTCATTTGTAAGTCGCTTTGGATAAAAGCGTCTGCTAAATGACTAAATATATATATATAAATATAAATATAATATAAACTGCACGTTTCCTCAGTATGTGTTTGTGAAGGCAGCTTCAGTGTAATGAATAAACGCTAGAGTTTCCTTATAAACACAGCAGTCAATACAACACAGGAATATAAATCAAGCTCTGCTGCCTGCTGACAGATATTCAACACCATCAATCCTGACAAACACACACACTCAGAAGTAACACACAGCAAGTATGTGCTGCTGTTGTGTGTACTTAACATGTTCCTGCAGCAACAGAGAAAGCGACATGTGCTTACGCTACAATATGAACTGCTTTCTGAAATCAAGCTTATGTAGCTAGCTCTTTATGCAATAAGATTGCAATGCAATTAACAGCAGGGATGTCAAACATACTGCTACTTTGATTCCAAATAGATAGAAAACAAAGATACACGAACTCTATTTGGTTACTGCATTTTAAATAGATCTCTTTACTGACAGTTTACTGGGGTGCGTGCTTGAGAAACACATGCAATTAATTGAGAATATTAGCATGAACATGTTAATATTCATATAAATAAATGTAATATAATAATGTACTGGTACAAATAAAGCAGTGTTATTTTGTATATCAATATTTTTAATTTGTATATATATCTTGTTTGTTTTCATTTTAAAATTAGATTTTAGTAATTCTGTGATATATGCTCAATTGCATCAGTGTTATTTTAGTATAACTGATAAACTACTATAGGTGTATTTCTTTCAGTTTAACTTTATTTCAAATTTGAGTAATTATGTGGTGTGTTTGTGATTTTTATTATTATTTATTTATTTTATAATCTGTCTATATACTGTAGATTTGATTAAGTTTTAGTTTATTTACTTTCAGTACCTTAATCAAAAATGCGAAATGTTGCCTTGGCACCTGACAGATCTGAAAATATTGACCTTTTTGGCATCCAATCATGATTTAATTTCATAATGTTCATGAAACATGCAGATGGTTGCTCTGAGCAAAACACATATCCTACTGTTTTTATCCACTTTTAACTTTAATATTTGGTGTGTCCACCTTCCGCAGCAATTACAGCAGCACATCTCAGAGTCAATATATTTCCTGAGAACTTCAACACTAATGTTATGCACTAATGCACTAATACTTTGAATGCACAATAGATCTGTCCAGTTTATTTTCGAACTCACCCCAAATTTGCTCAATGGGGTTGAGCGCAAGTTGGTTTTATGGGTATCGTAATGGCCAATTCAACAAAAACAACTGAAGCCTATTAAATATGCCAAGTGTCTTAAAGGGATAGTTCACCCAAAAATTCTGTCATTAATTGCTCACCCTCATGTCGTTTCAAACCCGTAAGACCTTTGTTCATCTTCGGAACACAAATTAAGATATTTTTGATGGAATGTGACAGCTCTCTGACCCTCCATAGACAGCAAGGGTCCTTACACGATCAACGTCCAGAAATGTAGCAAGGAGATCGGTAAAATAATCCATGTGACATCAGGGGTTCAAGCGTAATTTTACGAAGCTACGAGAATACTTTTTGTGCGCAAAAGAAAAAAAAAACGACTTTACTCAACAATTAGTCTCCTCCGCATCACCCTGGCGCCATTTTGGAGAGCATCAGCTAGATGTAAACAGCGAATGGTGTTCTGTGTCAGCTGCATCACGCGGATTCTCGTAGCTTCGTAAAATTACAGTTGAACCCCTGATGTCACATGGATTATTTTACCGATCTCCTTACTATGTTTCTGGACCTTGATCGTGTAAGGACCCTTGCTGTCTATGGAGGGTCAGAGAGCTGTCACATTCCATCAAAAATATCTTAATTTGTGTTCCGAAGATGAACAAAGGTCTTACGGGTTTGAAACGACATGAGGGTGAGTAATTAATGACAGAATTTTCATTTTTGGGTGAACTAACCCTTTAATAATTTTGGTCACCACTGTACTTGAAACAAAATACGTTTGTGTGTTTATTTCAGTTAATGTTTATTTTATTTGAAGTAATGAAAATGTTTTAGTTAACAATGATAACCCCGAACTGCATATTAGTTTAGCAGTGATATTAAAGAGAACTGTGAAATTTCATTAACTACTAAAATATGGTGACATCCCGAGTTAGCACAATTAACACAATTAATAAAAACAAAATAAGCTTCTTTATTCTAGTATAGAAATATCAAGGCAACAACAAACACCCTCAAAAACAGAAAGTGTGCTTGTGAGAAAAAGTCTGTGCGTAAAAAGTGAGTTTAATTGGGTTTTGAGGCCAAGTAATAACCACTTAAGTTTGCAAACAAGCTCCTGGTAGTTTGATAAATGTGCTTAATTTAAAAATAACCTTGTTACTCCGATTTAAGCGAGGAAAAGCAGGGAGATTTTGAGCCCATTTACAGTTATTAAGCAGCCGATGAGGGCGACAAAATGAAGCCTGTCCAGATATTTACTACAATTCATCAATTACTCAAATGCGCAGAAACCTTCGAAGGGATCCGGCACATTTCACCGAGAGCCCGAACACACCGGAGGGCCGAGCCAGATATTAGCTGATTTGTCTTACAGAAAACCTCAGCGCAGTTTCATGCAAATGCAGCATGCGAGTGTATGCTCTCCTCACTGACCTGCCCAGAGGGGAATATCCATGAACTGAGCAGTTTTATGAAGAAGGTCTCTGTGCTCCACACACACCGTTCCTGATCCTAAAACAAACACACACACACACACACCCACACAACAGGGATAAATCATGTGCTTTAAGTTTGTTAGCTTGGCATTGAAAATGGTCAACATGTGACCGAAACATTTCCCTCGTTTTACTTATTTACAATATAATTGCTTATATTGCTTTCATCTCACTTGTTGACTCTTTGATGTTTGAGTGTGTGGACTTTTTTCAAGCTCTTCACCTTTAAGTTTAAACCACATGCACTGAATTATTTGCACTACTGTTCAAAAATTTGAAGTCGGTAATGTTTTTAAGTCTCTTCTGCTCATCAAGGCTGCATTTAGTTGTGCAAAAATACAGTAAAAACAGCAAAATTGTGAAATAATATTACAAATCAAAATAACCACTTTCTATTTGAATATATTGTAAAAAAAACAAACAAATGTATTTCAGTGATCAAAGCTGAATTTTCAGCATCATTACTCCAGGCTTCAGTGTCACATGATCCTTCAAATGCATCCTTACTGAATCTATTTACATGCCCAACCAAAGACCATGTCTTCAAATTTTGTTTCTCATGTATAATGTAGTTGCGTTACATAATTTACGCTTGCATTGTGAGCCAAGCGCCACTTTGCAAAGCATTTCTGTGCACTGTGACGGAGTCTGGCGTGAGGCCGTCATGCATGTCTCCTGCTCTTAACCCCTTAATGCAAGTCATTAATCTGTGTATTGCTTATCTGAGCAGCCGTCACTGCACTCCTGAACACACAAAACAAACCGAGGAAGAGGAAGAAGGGTACCGATCCGATGCTACTTCACAATCTGACATATTTAAAGGAACAGTTCACCCAAAAATGAAAATTTGCTGAAAATTTACTCAACCTCAGGTCATCTAAGATGTAGATGAGTTTGTTTCTTCTTCAGATTTGGAGAAATGTAGCATTTCATTACTTGCTCAGCAATGGATCCTCTGCAGTGAATGAGTGCCGTCAGAATGAGAGCTGATAAAAACATCACAATAATCCACAAGTAATCCACACCACTCCAGTCCATCAGTTAATGTCTTGTGAAGTGAAAAACTGTGTGTTTGTAAGAAATAATTTCATCATAAAGGCATTTTATTTTCAAACGTGCTTCTGACCAAAATAGTCCAGTGAAAAAAAGTCCATCTCCTGTTGTCCTGCACTCCTGAACACACAAAACAAACCGAGGAAGAGGAAGAAGGGTACCGATCCGATGCTACTTCACAATCTGACATATTTAAAGGAACAGTTCACCCAAAAATGAAAATTTGCTGAAAATTTACTCAACCTCAGGTCATCTAAGATGTAGATGAGTTTGTTTCTTCTTCAGATTTGGAGAAATGTAGCATTTCATTACTTGCTCAGCAATGGATCCTCTGCAGTGAATGAGTGCCGTCAGAATGAGAGCTGATAAAAACATCACAATAATCCACAAGTAATCCACACCACTCCAGTCCATCAGTTAATGTCTTGTGAAGTGAAAAACTGTGTGTTTGTAAGAAATAATTTCATCATAAAGGCATTTTATTTTCAAACGTGCTTCTGACCAAAATAGTCCAGTGAAAAAAAGTCCATCTCCTGTTGTCTCTCACATCAAAATCCACCCACATATTTGTTTAGAGCTGCTTTGGCTTGTAAATGTTGCTTGATCTGTGCAGATTTCTCTCCTGATTCAGACAAGACAACTCTTACACCACGAGGAAACATTATTACGGACTTGGTTTGAAGTTAAAAACATCTTAATAATGGACTTGTTTCTTACAAACACGCAGCTTTTCACTTCACAAAGACATTAACTGATGGACTAGAGTGGTGTGGATTACTTGTGAATTATTGTGATGTTTTTATCAGCTCTCATTCTGACGGCACCCATTCACTGCAGAGGATCCATTGCTGAGCAAGTGATGTAATGCTACATTTCTCCAAATCTGATAAAGAGACAAACTCATCTACATCTTAGATGTCATGAGAGAGTACATTTTCAGCAAGCTTTCATTTTGGGTGAAGTACTCTTTTAACATTCACTGCTCATGGAATATGTATGTATTTAACAACATTTAAAATGCCTGCAAACATCATCTTGTCAGGTGCAAAAGCGATCTTCATGAACAAAACTAGTCTATAATAACTATAAAACACACAAACACACTTCCTCTAACTGATTAAAAATACATAATGCAGAAATCATCACTTGACAAGATGCCCCAAATTCATCCCGAGCTGCAGAAACGCTTCCAGCTACTTCAGAAAGTCAAACTGGGTCACTGTCTGCGGGTTATTTGAGGAGATTCACACAAACACACACACACACACACACACACACACACACAAACAAGATGCACCAGGTCAGAGGTTCATCACCTTCATTGCTCTCAGATTGAATATTAATAACATTGTATATTCATAGAATTCCAATCATAGATGCTGTGTTTCAGTAAACAGGAGCTCTCATGCAAGCAGAAGGAATTGTGGGAATGAGAAGGAAGTGCTCATAAAACAGACCAACATCTGATCAGAAACATCAGAAGATGCCAATAACCCACAGCTGTGAATTCATTCTATTGGATTCTACAGTAAAGAATTGTTTAGTTATGGGCACATTTTGATAGACATTTAAAGGCAACACAGCATGACCATGATTATTAAATACGTCACATTTTAAATTATAAATAAATAAAAAAGACAATGATGAATAAGTATTTATACAATTTAAATAAATGAAAACTGAAAATGAAATAAAAATATAAAGAAAATGAAAACAAATAGGTAAAACAATAAACAAGATGTGATGAATACTTAATTTCAATTAATTAAAAAAATAATAAAAATTTAAAAATTAAAATAAAATTATAACAAAAATAAAGAAAACGAAAACAAATAGGTAAAAAGTAAACAAGCTGCGATGAATACTTAATTTCAATTAATTAAACTAAAAATTATAATAATAAAAAAAATCAATCAATCAAGCAACCGTGAATGATCACATTTTAAAATGTATATTAATGGGTAAAAGACAAAAAAGGGTTTAAGCATAAAAACAATAAGTGTAATACTGCTTTAAATTGTTGTTGTTTTCCCCAAAAAATGTAAAAAGTTTTCGGTTTAATTTAATTGCAATTTTGTTTTAGTTTTCCAGAGCAAAAAATAAATATCATACATTTTTCCCTGATTTACAGAAGAGACCCACTAAAACTTCATTCAGTGTAACAAACTTGTCAGGCATATTTACAACAAAAATCTATTTATGACATATTAAAAGACTAATTACCTTCACCCCAAATACTAATTAGTGTTAATTTTACATTTTTTTTTTAAACTTGCCACTATCCTAGGTTTTGCCCAATTGTCAGTAAGATTTTTTTACTCATTTAAAACACAATAAAAATGTAATATGCTCCCTTACTCATTTATATATTATAATATGTACAAGTCAGAATAAGCATGTTGTTTGCATTTTTACATAAATATTGTGTTACACTGAATCACAATGTAACGTTATTTCAACCAAATTCATTTATTCTCCAAAAACGTATTTGAAACCTTAAAAGTAGACACTTTACTTGCATTTAACGTGCTTTCTATTGACATCAAATCTCTTTTGTAAATTTCTTTTGATGCGACATCTTAACATCTTTGACCAAATTACAAAAAAAAAAAAAAAAAGAATAAAATAAAATAAAATCTAAACAAAATAACACAGCTGACATGTGAAACTATATGAAGCCCTGCAGGGCATTATGAAAAAGTGTTTCATCGATGGATGAGAATCATATTACTGTGATAAAGGACAGATTCACAGCTGGACTGAATCGATTCTGTCTACGGCCGCGTCCACACACACACACACACACACACACACACACACTCACACACACCCTGCGTTAATGAATCAGCTGCTGCACTGTCAGCATGTGTATAAGACAATGAAGACTCATACTGACACTAGAACTTGTGTATCATATATGTGATGATTAAACAGAAACACAACCATCTGTCTAATCCAGGACTGTTAATACAAAACTTCTGGCATTACAACAAGTATCCTGTTCATTCACATGCCTGAAAAAGAGTACAGGCTAAACGGATTCACAACATCAATGTTCAATAAGTGCTGAGTCTTCACAAATAAACCCCAAACTGTTAGAAAACCTCCAGAAATGATCAAATATAACAGACTTAATCCAGTTTTACAAATGTTCTCTCTCTGTATCTCTCTCTCTCTAATGTCAGTACTGCAGCCATCCTGGAGTGTGTTAAGTTCACACATGATTCTCACATTAATAGAGACAGACCTCTGCCAAAAAAAAAAAAAACCTTGTAAGCACACCAGCCAGCTACTAATACAGTTACTGTGTTCAACAATAAAACTGTGGTAATCTGATATTAGACTACTTTTCCCCCCCCATAATGCATCACGACACACAGATAGATAAATAAATAAATATCAAGTAAATTAATGAATGCAATTCTCTCACATACTGTACTGATTTTCTTAAATATTAATAAATAAATAAACAAATAAACGAATGAATATAAAATAAAAACAAGCAAATTAAAATAAAAAAAATGATAAATCAATCAAATCAATACTTTTTGGAGAAAAATCTGACTGAAAATGTGACTGATCTTGAGAATGTCAGTGCCAAAATGGTGTGATAAAATACAAGTATTATCTTGCATACTAATTTTCTGAAATGTATGAATTAATGAATATAATTAAAATACAAAAATAAACACGCACACATACATAATACAATGATGTATTATTACTTGTATTTCAATTTAAATATATTTAAGGTATAAATAAAAATAACCATTTTAGTATGAATATAAAATAAATTAAAATACAAATAAAACAATATATATATATATATATATCATACTTTTTGAAGGTAATTGAGGAAAACGTGCTCAATTACCCTAAAAGTGTCAATGCAAAAATGCATAAATGACTAAATATAATTATCATACATATTGAGTTTCATAAATATACCCAAGGAATATATTA